GTCCAGCGAGATTTTGAACTGGGGGATCACGATGTCTGATTTTCCGGCCAAGAATGTCCAAGAGATGCTCAATCGGATTAAGATCCGGACTACAGGCCGGCCAAAGAAGAGTGGCAATAGCTTCTTGACGCAAATAAGCCAAAACTGCCCGAGATCTGTGTGGTCTAGCATTGTCGTCCATGTAAACAGGTCTTGTCTTAAGAGGATGGTTGTTAAAATGAGGGACTACCACTGGACGAAGAACGGCATCTTTGTATTGTTGGCCATTCAGGTTTCCACGAATTGTCACCAGCGGAGGTTTGCAGCCGAAGGAAACACAACCCCATATCAGGACAGACCCCCCGCCACATGCTAAGGTCTTCGGGATGTTCCTTGGTACAAAACGAGTGTTACGTTGCCTCCAAACACGTATTCGACCATCAACAGTTCGTAGCAGCATTCGATACTCGTTAGACCAATGGATCCTTCTCCAGTTGGCCAAGTTCCATCGCTTACGGGCACGACACCATATCAGATGATTCCGCATGTGCCTCTCAGTCAGTTGAAGACGTTTTACTAGTCTTCTGGTGTTATAACCAGCCGCTCTGAGGCGACGCCTTACGGTCATCGTCGAGAGTCTCTGATGGATAATCCACTGCAGTCCTAAATCTGTTGAAGTGGCAAATGGATTTCGTCTGACTATCCTGAAAAGACGTCTATCCTCTCGTTTAGAGGTATTTCTTTGCCTACCAGACCTAAGCCTGCCATTGACATCATTGGTTTGACCATGTTTGACAATCAAACAATTGATAACACTGTGATGACGACCCATTTGTCTTGCAATGGCCCTGCATGATTGGCATGCCAGCCTTTTCATGCCTATCACTTGCCATCTTTCAGCGTTCGTTAATTTCTCCCCACCATGGCTGATTTTCAACCCATATTGGGAGGGGAATCTCACACAGGAGCAAAATGCAACCACGTGTCTGAAACTTGAATTTCACTATTTATAGGGTAGGGGAACTGCAGCAACACGTAAAGCACGTTTTCCTTGTAGTATCTGGACAAATTTGGGTTCATGAAACTATGGAAGCCTAATTCAGTCATACATCATCATACATCGTATTTCTGATTCCCACACGTGAAATCAAGAGACTATGAATATGGTGGCGCTTAACTTGTGTGCATGTATATATATTCTAGTAACTTAAAACCCCTTTGTATGTTGTCTGGATACGAAATCGACGTCCACAAATAACGCTTGCGATACACAGAATTGTTTCTCAGATATGCCGTTTTGCAGCAACAACGTCCATGTCATATATAATTAGCCTCAATAGTTTGTTTGTGATCACTGCTGTTAGCATGTCTCTTAAAGGTACTCGTTATAAAATTGGAGTGAGAAAGTGAGTTAAAATATAACGTCGCAACCCCCTTTTTTTCAGCCAAATAGCGACATTAAAATTAGAAAGTAGCTTTGTTATTGAATTATGTGATCAAATGATTTATATAAAGCTGATATGTCATGGTATTTCTTTCTGAGGTATGCTGCAACCGCATGCACTCAAGAAATCAGGTTCGCAGAAAAGTTCTACTTTTCTCAGTTGTTCTGCCTTTCCTCTGTCTGACACCGCTCAGGTGAGCCATGCGACACATTCTGTGTATCGTTAACTTGTGCTCGGCGCTTCTGCGATACTGGGGTTATTTGAAACAGAATCATCTTTGGTATTATCAGAACTATGACTACTACATTTGAAAAAAGTGTATACTCGATTCTGATTGGACCATTTGTGACTTTCAGCCAAGGAAAGGGGCTGACAGTAAATTGAGACGCATAAGGCAACGAAAATCAAGAACTTTACATTCAATAACAGAAGCAGCAGTGATGTAACTTGTTATGTGACAGTGGCTCCCACAAGTACACAAGTAGAGATTGCTGCAGATGATCAATTGTTCCCCGCAATATAATGTTATGTCCAGAGGAAGGAAGTGTAAGCTATGGGAGGAGAGAATTGGTGTAAAGTACAAATTGGTTGTTATTAATGTAGTTATCTTTGGAAACCACAAAAAAAAGAAACAGTGTCTTTAAATAGTCAGCACAAGGAAAACCCAGGCAAGAAAACTGGGCATGTCCGACAGAACTTGATATATACCCACTATTTGTACCAATAAAAAAATAATTGATTACAAGTCCTATATAGATAACACAACAAATGTCATTCTTAAACATGCTTTTGCAGCAAATATCAATATTTCTGGTGAAAATGTTGGTTGGGTTAAATAAAACAAACTTTTTAAATAGTAAACACAAAAAAGTGTGATGAATCCACTGTAAAAAAACTTCAGTTCAAATGTAAAAATTCGCGCATTCATCAAGGGATTCCCATTGATCTGGCAGCAAGTTAAGAACACACAGTTTGGTCAAGTCATCTATAAATATTGAGACTTATCTTACATTGTGTAAAAACAAAGGTCTTAGGTCACTTTTCTCAAAACTTCGTTTACGTAATCACAAAACTCAAAATAATATACTTGTTATGAAATAAAATTGTTATAATGTACCTCCTTTGTATGTTGAATGTACCTGTGTTTTTAACTTGTCGTTTATTGTGCATGTATTTTGTAGTTTGTGATAATGTAATATTGCCACTGTTTCTTCATGGAATGTTCCGCAATATATATCTCATCTAAAACATCTTTGTTGTATGATAGTTTCTGACAGTTGGTACGGGGGCACGGGTGGCCCAGTCGTCTAAGGCGCCGCGATTCGCTGTGCAGAGTTGCGTCCCTTGGGCACGCCAGAAACCTATGATTGTGGGTTCGAATCCCGGTTCGCCCCGATGATGTTTCAAGGTTTGTCAGCACCATACCCGTGCTCCTGGGTTTCACCGAAATGGTAAACATCTGAGACCTGCATCACTTCGGGCTTTCCTCCAACATTACGTTGACACGCCGTGATACTAGAATACTGTTAAAAATAAAATAAACCCATCCACATGAATGCGCCCCTTGCCCCACTAAGAGTAAGGTCATGCGCTAATCGGTAAAATATTGCGAGAATCCCGCGCTGCCGCTGTCTCGGTAGAACACAGAACTGAGAGTATTACAATATACAGTAACAATATCTGTGTAAAGATACTTTCATCATCATCATCATCATCATCATCATCATCTCGTCACGCCGAAGACACGGGTTCGATTCCCGACATGGGTACAATGTGTGAAGCCCATTTCTGCTGCCCCGCCGTGATATTGCTGGAATATTGCTAAATGCGGCGTAAAACCAAACTCACTCAGACTTTCATCATCATTTCATCACCATCATCATCCATCATCGTTTCATCATCATCTATCATCGTCATCATTTCATCCTCATCATCATAATCATCATAATCATTTCATCATCCATCATCTATCATCATCATAATCATCATCGTCATTTCATTATCATCCATCATCGTTTCATAATCATTTCATCATTATTATTATTATTATTATTATTATTTCGCTTCTAATTAGAGACGTAATTAGAGCCAGATGTGAAACTTAGACTTTGTGTAATCAGTGTGTAATTATTAACTGTTAGCTTGAATTACATTGTAGAATTGGGGTCAACTGAGAATCCGAGAAAGGTTTGCGTAACATAAAACGCAGTGACTAGGTCAAATGCATGTCAAAGGCAAAATGTTCTTGACTGCGTAGATAAACTGTATACTAGTATTTCTTTCAGTCGCCTCATAGTGTTATCAATAATACGTTTTAGGTTTATAGGTTCAGACGATTCCATTTCTCAGCATCATCCACACTATCACGTCACCTACTTCCATCAGTATGGACCAGAGAAGGCAAACTTAAAGTGTGGACTGAGTGAGTTGGATTTAACGCCGATTGGAAAAGTATTCCAGTTATATCATGGCGTATCAACTTAATATTAGAGGAAAGCCTGAAGTGATGCAGGTCTTAGACGTTTACCACTTCGGTGAAACCCACGATCAAGGGTATGGTGCTGACAAACCTAGAAACATTATCGGCCCTGGCCCTGAATTGGTCCAAATGAGTCATTACCAGTTCGGCGTATATTTGGACAAAAAGAGATGATTGATAAAAGGTTAGCAGGGCTCTATCCCATTTTCAGTGAATTAGAAACATAGTGAACTTTAGGATTAATAAACAATTCAAGCTCAACGCACATTGTTTAATTAAAATCAGTCAATTTGAGAGGTTACATATATTTTTTTCACGCCATCCTATTGGATACTATACATTTTAAGAAATAAACAAATAAGATTTTTTATTAATAACTAGTTCGGGGAAATGATGTCGATAGGCTGGGGGAGACTAGTTTGCTAATATCGTGGCAAAAGGAAAGTGTATAATTATAAATGTAAGCACCTGGTGTTCTATTCTTGACCGACAACGCAATGTTTGTATCAAATTAATCATCTTCATCCACTCAGATTATTAACGTTACCGTTTATTAATGAAACTTACCCATGAAGATCCGGGTTAAAATAGGTCTTCAGCAACACATGCTTGCCATAAAAGGCGACTATGCATGTCGTAAGAGGCGACTAACAGGATAGGGTGGTCAGGCTCGCTGACTTGGTTGATGAACGTCATCGTATCCCAATGCCGTGGATCGATGCTCATGATATCACTGACTGGAATGGCTGGCCAGAACTCGATTATTTACAGACCGCCGTTAATAGCTGGAATATTGATGAGTGCAGTCACTGTGTTAAACAACAAACAAACAAACAAATGAGACGCTTGTACCTGTTCGGACTGGTGTCGGTTTTATGGTGCTAGCCCGCTGTGATGCCATGCCTTAGCTAACATAGTTACCCTACTCTGACACAGTATACTGACTCCGAGCCGACCAGTCCTTGTTTTGTCCCCTTAATGTGTAGTTCCCGAGTGAAAACATAGTGTAAGTTTTCCATTCTACAGTCTCCTTAAATAATCGGTTCCAGTCGGTCCTTTTCCCAAGTGTCCTGGGAAGATAACGTGACGTCCAAATGAAAAAATGACAACAAATGAAAAACGGCCTCAGAATCAGTCGGCCATCTCCGACTTTTCCCGGGACTTATCGCTGTGGCGTCACCATTCACGCCCACATTGTGTACATATATTATGTATTCACCAATTCTGGACACATCAGAAATCCAAGAACCTGCTTGACATCAAGAACGTTCAACGTTATACCGTAAGTGTTATGTTGTTTCACATGTCTGCGTCCTGGTTGTGGCCAGTTCAGTGGTAAACGAATGCTTGGCAATGTCAGAAACTCTTTTTCTGTCATTGAACTTCGCATTCAGACATAATTACGCTAATGTTGACATTTCTGTAGATATTATATGTCAAATGAAAACCGAGGCAGCAACACAACCGAGCAGACGACACGGATCACGGATCACAACCAGCCTGGATGCCGAGTTCGATATGTAGAGGTTTTCCTATTTTAAGCGGACACTGTTATTCTTTTCTTACACCGATTTGTGTAGTTGGCGTTTTCACACCTCCTTAATCGCAGGTACTTACTTTTTAACCGGTGTGGCAGGACATGCTTACCCTTTTTTGCGAACATCTGGCTATCGTTGGGGTGAAGATTCACAATACCGTTGCGCTGAATCGGAACACCAATGAAATTTCACATCATGCATGAATAGCATATGGAGCACGTGCACACAGAAGCACGCGTCTTTGCGCATACAGAGGAATTCACATTCACTAATGCTTAAACAGTATCTTTTTGAACAGACAAAATGGCGAATTGTGTGGGTGTGCGTGGGTGCGTACGTGTGTGTGAGGGGTTGGGGTTTGGGGGTTGGAGGGAATATGATATCCCAAGTTATCAACAAATTTTGTTATTGTGATTGGACATTTGACTGACTATATATACAGTGATATGTTGACGACATTTGGCGTCCTGTCCATGTGGCAGAAAGTTTCAACTGCAAGATGACAATACCAGACCACATGGAGCCCAGGTCGTCGTCGAATATCACTGACGAGAATGTGTACGGACTTTAGACTGACAGGCTGACATGTCCCCAAAAGAGCAACTGTGGATGTTCTTTGGCGGAGGGTGTACGCCAGAGACCAGCACCCGCCAACGTGGCCCAGCTTTGGGAAGCCCTTGAGGCGGAATGGCGGGAAATACCAAGGGCAACCATATGCGAGTTAATCAACATTATGCCATCTAGGTGCCGTGCATGTATCACCCAACATGGTGGACATCTATCGTCAATACACCTTCACAATCATGGGCGGATACAGCTTTTTTTAAAAGGGGGGGTGCACAATTAAGATCTATTTATTGTCTTTGGTGGTAATTTATACAGAAATAAAGATTTTTTTCGAAATAAAAAGGGGGGGGGGGTGCGCATCCCCCCACCCAACCCCGCCCCGCCGCCCCCACACCCACACATCCACCCCCACCCCCACCCACACACCCCTCCTGTATCCGCCCATGACAATCATTTCATCAGTTCCCTCATTTTCTGTCGGTGAATATTTCAAGTAGATGAGCCAGGTAGTGACCATTTCCCCATTCTTTCTGTAATTAAGGTCCGATTTGGTAACGAGATTAGATAATTGTTCAGCTACATTCAAAAACAGATACTTTTTTACTCAAAATATGAGCCTGAATTTTTAAAAGAAAAACACTTGCAACAGTGTAATTTTTTAGGAAGGCAATTTCTTTCTTATTCAAATGTCTGAAACATAATTCTTATTTTTCGAGAATGTTTTCCGAAAGAAGAGAATATCAACAAGTCTTTGAAACATGTCTTCTGCCATGTTGGACAGTAGCTCAGAACTAAACGCCGCTTTCGCTCATGTTGAACTTAAAGCAGCCACTTCAAGAACGACACGTGAAGATCGGGGTAGAATAGGGAACAACGGGATCGGGTTGTCAGGCTCGCTGACTTGGTTGACATATACCACAGACACAGTTAAATGTGTTCAATCATATTGTATAATTCCGCATATAAAATATAAAATATAAAATTAAACATTTTATTATGTTCTTCAGGTGTGAAAGACTGAGTATTCCAAAGTTGAGAAAAGTGATATTTTCATTGCAGTGAACATTACACTTAATATTTCACTGCAATGAATATAACACTTTAACGGAACAAGTGTCATACAAGAGTTACCTCCCCGCAAATTACCTCCCTTGTCGTAAGTGTTTAGCCAGTACACAAACTGTTGACTTAACTTTACGTTAGCTCCACACTAACAAGGCAAACTAATTACAGATCATGGAGTTTATATCGCTTCGTGCCGTTTGTTATTCTCTTAAAATGCTTCGTAATAAACTGTAAATTTCTCATTTAATTCGTCAATCGAGACTGTTCGTCTACAAAGACATTGTGGTGATTGCCAATAATTCGACGAAAAGTGCGTTTCTTCCACCCATAAATCGTATAGCCGGGACAACTATCGAATTCGATATAAGGCGGCGGTCTGTAAATAATCAAGTCTGGACCAGACAATCCCGTGATTGACAACATGAGCATCGATCCACGGCATTGGACATCTTCCCGAGGCAAGAGAGTTAATTACTTTTAAAGTCCAGTTTCCATCCTTGCCAAGTGTCATGTACACATTTCTATACAAAATTACATGATAGTTTCTTAAAGAACTTCATCCGTCATGGGTCTTAAAATAAACAAAATTCAGATTTTGTTGGGTACAGCCTAGGGTATTCATGGTCAAGTACCGTATTGATGTTTCATACACTTTTCTGGATTTCGAGTTATTTTGCAATTCATCGTTCTCATTTGGAGTCAAACGGACAACAGGCTTGAATTACTGGTCTCGACCGTTGCGCCCCCAGTGGCTATTACCAAGTACGTCCCTTCTAAGCCTCTCCTGTGGACCAATCAGATTCCACCTCTCGTATCACTTGCGTTTGCTTCACACAAAAAGGTGGCGCCCAGTCAGGACGATCTGATCGATAATCAAGATCTATATTGTGATAAAACGGGTTTTACATCGCGAAATGCATCAAATCACGTGAGCACCTTGATTAAAACATGAACGGATTTGGAAAATATCTGCTGACAACGAATTGGCTATGCACATGCTTTGCAAATCCTGCAATCGATCGAAATCTGCACGACAGTTTACGAACCGGATTTCGATTTCGCTGCGCGATTTTGACTGGACTATGCATAGACTCGTTAGCCCAGACAAAACGTAACTCCATAATACCAGCCTAGTTCGGCAAGGGTGGAAACTGGACTTTTATAGTCAGTTAACTCCTTTGCCTCGGGAAGATGGGCATTGGAGTACGATGAAGTGCATCGACCAAGTCAGCGAGCCTGACACCCGATCCCGTAAGTCGCCTCATACGACAAGCACAGTCGCGCCCAATTCGACACCACTCGCCCCTTTCCGTAACCTGCAAGAAGACTCGTCGCCCTATCGATGAATGTTATGTGGGAAAATACGACAAATCAATCAGAATGCGCGTATGATTTCAAGTTCTTCGTCAAAGAATCCCTCAGAAATAATTTTTGATTTTACATGTCTTGCATCTAGAACTATAGCCAAGACACAGTTAAATGTGTTCAATCATACTGTATAATTCCGCATGTCCCGATTTCCTTTAAATTGTATCTGAAATATATATAATATAGGGGGAAGTAAATGTGAACCATTACGCAACGAGTTGACAATTGTTTTAGGTATGTCCCTTTGCGCTAAGACGGAACCAGGTCACAAAAATTGCCCAGAGAGGGGCACGAGTCGCTATTCGGCTTGTCCCGGAAGTTGGTCACGAATGAGTCGCGCCCATTCGTGACCAACTCGTGTTATTCCGGGACAAGCCGAATGCAGGTGACGGAAAGGGGCGAGTGGTGACGAATGAGTCACCTGCTATTCGGCTTGTCACGGAATAACAAGAGTTGTTCACGAATGGGGTTGCTGAAGACCTATTCCCCCCGGATCTTCACGGGTCTGTGCAATGATAGTCGACATGCTCTATGCTTGTTTAACGGTTGTTCAGGTGCAGTAAAAGTTGTTAATACCATATATTTGAACGAACCACCAATACAGTGGTGTAAAACAACATTCATTTCAATGTTTATTTTACATCTTTTCAGAAGACGTTGAGTGCACAATTCTCACTACTGGAAGAACATCTGTTAGTGAGGCATTTATATGTAACGGGATCATGCAAGCAACAAATCCATTGCAAATATTAATTTCTCTGTATTTTTTTTCAACAGGAACATGAAGATATTTTCTTTCCTTACACTGGCCATTGTGGCTGCCGTCCTGGTGTGTGACGTCATTGCCCAAGGTCCGCAGGAAATCAGCTGCTACTACAGCAGCTACAGAGCGAGGAGAGATTTCTGTAAGGCCTGTGACATGCGCGGCAGTGCTTGTGACATGAGTGGAGATGGATCTCCAGGGAATTGCTTCTGGGTGTGCAGATGAGTGCACTAAAACAGTCTGTCTGGTCAGTACCTACACTAGACTTGGTCCGAAAGTGGTGACTGTGGTCTAAAGTCAGGTGGATTCAGACTTTCTACGTGTAATAAATACTGCACAACCAATATCGTGTTTTCCGTTTTTCAAAGCGATTGTGGTGGTAGTTGGGTTTGCTTGGTTTTTGCTTTATGTCCATAACAAAAAGAATATATTACGCGCACCTGTAGTGTAATCAATTGACAAAGGATGGGAACGCCGCCGAACCTGAACCTCTCATATCAGCTCTAACAGCTACCCCCGTAACCAGTTGTCACGAGCGAGATGAGATGAAATTGGGTTTAGGTCGCGTCAAAGATTATTGCACTTTTATAGGCACGTGCATGCGTATGTGTGTGTGTGTGTGTGTGTGTGTGTGTGTGTGTGTGTCTGCTTGTACTCGTCGATCTGATGCCAATTTATAGTGCTTGCTCACTGAGATACCATGCTGCAGTTTTAACATGAATACCCCACTCAGACACAGTATACTGACTCCGAGCCCACAAATCCTTGTTTTAACCCCGTATTGCCGAGCGCCAGACAGGGTAACAACAAGTACCATATTTTAATGTCGAACCCCCGGACCTTCCCCTCTCTGTGCGGATGCCCTACCACTAGACCACGGAGGTGGTCTGTCACCAGTGAGTTGGGTTACCCTGCTTTGAACAGTATTCCATTCATACCACCGGATAAGACCTCAGACGTTAACCACTTGGTGAAACAAACCACCACGGGTAATGGTGCTGACAAGCCTAGAAACTACGGGGCGAACCAGGATTTGAACCCTCCATCTGGCCAAGGGACGCAACTCTGCACAGCGAATTGCTGCGCCTGAGACGACTAGGTAGGCATGCCTCCTTGCAGGATCTTAAGACTTTGACAAACCTTAGAACATATGTATCAATCAATACAATCACTAAAGTAGCCAGCTGTGTGGACCTATTCTTCCAAGTGTTGCACAAGCTTGTCAACAACATAACTGGTGACTGTCCATCATAACTAAACCCTCATGTATTTGGCATTTGATTCTGCAAATCATCTTTCATTCTACTCATGTAGTCAAAGTTGTTTGTTGTTTAACGCAGCACTCAGCAATATTCCAGCTATATGACAGCAGTCTGTAAATAGTCGAGTCTGGACCAGACAATCCAGTGATTGACATCATGAACATCGATCTATGCAATTGGGATACGATGACATGCATCAACCAAGTCAGCGAGCCTAACCACCGGATTAATCGCCTCTTGCGACAAGTGTAGTCGCCTTATATGGTAAGACCTATGTTACCCCGGATCTTCACTGGTCATCTCAGAAAAATCTGGGTTTCAAACCCACAGGTTCCTTGCACAACAAAGGGAGGACACATTACACAACGCAGTGCTTCAGATTGGGCCCACTGTTTCCCACTGTCCGAAGTGAATCACTGACCTCAAATGTACATTATATACCAATACCTGACAGTTGATAAAGAGTGAGTGAGTGAGTGAATGAGTATGGTTTTACACTGCTTTTAGCAATATTCCAGCAATATCACTGCGGTGGACACCAGAAATGAGCTTTAACATTGTACCCATGTCAGGATTCTAACTCGGGTCTTTGGGGTGCCGAGTGAACGCTTTAACCACTCAGCTACCCGACCGCTATTACGACAAACAATTCAGAATGTGGACTGAGGTACTCTGATAAAAATAATCCTGAGTTGTCCATAGAATTCTCACAACTAATGAAGATTTATTTCTATGAAATCAACACTTTTTTTATGTTGAAGTTGATTCTATTATCCATCTGTTTTTTTTAATGTACAGCTTGATGAAATGAATAGACAACCTTACTGGCACAAAATTGGAAATAAATAAGCAAAATGTCATATTTGGATTTAAGGAAAAACGAAATGACCTACAAAACTTGATTTTCATTCAAACTGAATTATCTACAAAAACAAATGTACAAATCGCTTACCAAATTTGAATGGTCTCAAGACTATGAACAAATTCTTATCATTTCAACAAGTTCACTGCCTTTTACCTTCTTGTCCTCATGTTACAACCTGTTTACATAGGTAAGAGTTATCCAATGTCCAATGTCCACACAGCACTAATAATACGTACATAAAGTAATTACATTGTCCATCAATTTTCTCTTTGAAACCTGTCAATAACCATAGTGTGTGCCGGTACTCTCAAGAAGAAAGTGATAAAAAATATTAAAAATAATAATAAACAAGAGCAAAAGTGAGCGTGGCTCACTAATACCCCCGACCCGCATAGTGTGTCAGTAGTTTCAAATTAAATAGCTAGGATAGGGCTAGGGTTTTAAAAATTCATAAAAAAATGGAAAATTTATAAAAACATTTTTTTTCTTTTGACTGCACCCCTCCAAATGACACAGATTATATGTACTAAGTTTGAGATGAATCCACTGAATAGTTAAGAGAAATCGCGCGGACAAAGTTTTCGGACGGATGGACGGAACCTTGGTATAACTATATACCCCCGACCTTTATGCTCGGGGGTATAAAAATATTAATCCAGAGTATTTAAAACAATAGGGCAATATGTCAACATTCTGACCAGTAGGGACACCCCATGACCCCTTTCATGCAATGTACCAAACAGCAATCACAACAAACACACAAACACACGAACACAACGGACACTCAGTGACTTTATTGCTGAGCTGACGAATGTATAACTTTCACAAATGTAAACAACTTAGTTCACTGTTATCATGATGTGGTTCTTCAAATAGCACTACACTGCATCTCAAATATATTTCAAACTTTAGCAGTACTCATTCATGCAAATCGGACCAAGTTTCGTTGAATCATTTCTTGCATAAAACCAACAATGTTCTTTGGTAACAATTATGGCATAATTCACCCAAACAATTTTAAAAAGAAAAGCTACAGTACAGGTTCATAAAGAGGAACATCAGTTTACCAAAAGGAACTATTTGGCCCAAATATTGGCCCAAATATACTTCAATGATAATCTTCAATAATGAATCATACAAGTTGACCTAAACATGGTAATGTAAAATATTGTTCCTAGAGAGTCCCGCCCCTAGCCCTGACTTTAGCACTGTTCTAGAGTACACCTGACATACAAATGAAGAAGCTTGGTGATTCTATTGTACAAAAAGGGGGAGGCCCCAGGATGAGAGATTCAGGTCAGGCTCCTGCCTACTGTACACACGATAATGAAACTGTCTATGTTCTATGTGGATCAATTCTTGCGTGTGCGTTCGAACTGATCACCGATCGCCTCTAGGAAGTCCATGGTGTTCAGATAATGCTCAGGCTTGACACTGAAAGACAAAAACACAGTTAGTGAAAACCCACTGAAAATGCTCTCAAATGGTGTACAACCTGCTATACAACTCAAACAGATCCCCATATAATATTAATATATATATATATATATATATATTCATATTCTGTACCATGTTTCTGCTTTACAACGGTATAAGGATCTATACCTAATTACATATCGCTATTACAGAAAAAATAAGGAAGTTGTCCACAAATTGTGTCCACTTTGTCATCCATCAACTTCTAAGAAAATGCCTAGAACATAATACTCAAAAGTAAATTTGATCTAATCTTAAATCTGGGATGAGTGAGTGAGTGAGTATGGTTTTACGCCGCTTTTAGCAATATTCCAGCAATATCACGGTGGGGGACACCAGAAATGGGCTTCACCCATTGTACCCATGTTGGGAATCGAACCCGGGTCTTCAGCGTGACAAGCGAACGCTTTAACCACTAGGCTACCCGACCGCCCCAAATGTGGGATGAAATATCTGAAGGGATACAGGAAGCAGCTTCTTAAAAAATTCACAGGCCTGACAGTGTTGGGCATTGGTTGTGAATTCAATATTAATGATCGGATCATCCCAACTGATCGATAAAAGTTTTTCGTTAGTTTAATCCTGCTAATCGTGCTGTATTGTTTGTTGTTTTACGCTGCACTCAGCAATATTCCAGCTTTATGACAGCAATCTATAACTAATGAAGTTTAGACCAGACAATCCTTTGATTGACAAAATGAGCATCGATCTCCACAAGTGTGATACGATGACATGCATCAACCAAGTCACATGCCTGACCACCTGGTCCTGTTGGTCGCCTCTTTATATGACAAACATGGGTTACTGGAGACCAAGTCTAACCTGGATCTACACGGGGTAATTCTTGGTAATATTTAGAACAGTAAAACTAGATCACACCTAACAAAACCAACTACTTGCCTAAACACTTGCCTCACACCTTCTCACTTTTCTCTCACAAAATACTACGAAGCAGTGACTAAACCTTCTCCGGAAACAACACTCAGGTTTTTGTAATTCCATATTTTAAAGATTGAGATCTATGTCATGTTTTGAGGGGCAAAATCAGTCTTTAAACATTTTTCAGGGCAACAGATAACAGATGCATACTTAAAATTAAATCCTATGGGTTCTTTTAAGCTCATAAGAAATAGTGCCACGTCACTTGATATGTATTCAGCAGTGTGAAATGTCAACAAAGACATCCATTAAAAGGTAGTTGCTGTCAATGAAAGTATTGACAAATGTAAAACTAGAAACTAACTATCGACAATGTTTCTAAATGTAGTTTTAGAGGACATTGTTTCAACTGTTCAACCTTATTTTTCTAATTCCATACATTTTTTTTCAATTGTTTCTAAAAAAAACACTGTAATCCTAATGATTTGAACAAAATATGATGCCATCATAAATTCAGCTTCCTCAGCCAGGCAATTTCAGAAAATCTGTTTAGAGACAAAACTGCATTTTGAGAGTCATTCAGACTACAACAGTACATTTTTAGCAGAAATGGCTGAGCTATCATGGCCATACAAAAATCAGAATGAAACCTGGTGACCTTTCTGGTTAATTGTTCATGTGGTTTCTGAAAAGATGTTTTCCATGGTTCACTCCAGATTTTTATATTTTCCCATACGGCTACCATATTTCAATTCCAATCAAGATGTCGTGAGCACACTACGTCTAATCTAGCCTCTATCATGACAGATCTACGCTCCCTAAACCTATCCAGACAGGTCTTGACAGGATGTGATGTAATTCTACTCACTTCTTGAGCCCGTGGATGCAGCCAGCTAAATCTTTAGTCATCTTGCCGCTGTCAATACACTGGACACATGCCTCCTCCATCTGCTGACAGAACCTGCAACACACACACGCACACTGACAGGTAACTCATCTCCAATGAAGAAATAAAGTCATCATTTAAGAGGCCTGGATGGAGTAGTAAATCTAGTTGAGCTATCAAGACAAGCCAGTGATTGATATCAAGAACAACGTCCTATGCTATGAAGTTGCCTCATAACAAAAAAGTTAGGGATGATAAATTTTGAGGATATGTTTTTGAAGTGAAGACCGAGCACACAATTTCCTAAAAATGATAAAAAGAAGAAAACAGAGCTATCACTAATCCCATGCCATAGGACAAATTAGAATTTTGTTTGTTCTTAAAGTAGTGAATACAAACTATTTAAAAGAAAGAAAGAAAAGAGTCCTATAAACCTGTACGAAGAGATAGGCACTAAAGTACTCATGGAAATGAAAAAACCCTGTTTTGCTGCATTTAATAATTGACACAAAGCATTACGTAGATGTAAATACGAAATAACAAAACAACTGGAAAAGTACTAGTCTTGTCTTTGCTAGTTTTATCTCAGTGCTCAAAACAAAATATACTTTACAGGAGGAAATTTGTAGGCACTTTCAATATTCAAAAATAAAACTAAGTCCAAATTGACATGGCAGAAACAGGCTTTAGGCATTATGCAAATTAGCCTGGAAAAAAGTTATCAAAACAACAATAAAAATAACATCTATGTTTATGTACATAATAATAATGACATGTAAGTTGTTGTTTGAGAAGGGAATATTAGTAAAATCTAAATATTTTTTACATTTGTATACTTATCCTGCATTACTCCTTAATGCATTCACTGCTTACTTACGACAACTAGAAGGACAGCGCTGGGAAGGTCCTGGGTGAAGAAATAAAGTTGTTGTTCTCAAGTCCCAATCAGTGGCCTTCCGTCGCTGTCCTGTGACCTTGATGACACCTAAGGTCATCTTCACATCACTGCCTGTCGCCCAAGCTCTTAGAAAAACATACTTTTGAGGTTTCTGAAGCCAAAGTGGGGAGGCAAGTCTAACGACGGGTGGGCCTTAAGCGTAGTAATGCAGGATAAGTATACAAATGTAAAAAATATTTAGATTTTACTAAATTTTTTACTTATCCTGCATTACTCCTTAATGCATCTGTATCGGACGGTTTGGAGGTGGGTCAACCTTCAGAATACAGAAACCTCAATAATTCACACCCTGCAATACGACCCCATTTGGTCGATAAACCGTGAAGCGGAAAAGTTCAGACAAAAACGCCATTACGGTAGGGTTGTTCAAAAATCAAAAACATTGAACATAGGAATTAAAGAGAAATTCCCTATACACGCTTAGTAATAAAGAAAATAATAGCTATTCAGCTAATTCTTTACTTACTGCGTCATAGAGCCGTCGCTGACAAACAAGATTGTCTAATATTCTTCCACTGGTGGCGACTGAGTGACTGCACATGGAAGTTGACTGGCTCTGTATAGGGCGAGTTCATTATTTGCGTCAGTGGTTGGCAATCTGCAGGATAACAACCAGAGGGCCAAACTTCGAACGTCTTTGACATCCTCGAGAGTCACAATGCGAAGGTTATGACTAACGAAAATATGTGTCGAATCTCCAGAAATATCCTTCCGTGATTGTTCCAAAACCACAATTGCCGTGTTGAGCCCTGGTAAGGCTGACACCTTGAGATCTTGAGGGTAATTCGCTCTTGGCGAGTTCCGTTTGATGATCTCGTAGGCCTGAAGGATTACTGCGCGTAACCATATAGATATGGTGTTTGCGATTATGCGACTAACTTCTGTCGTGGACGAACCACGCCTTGTCTTGGAGCGTCGAATGAAAACTCGAACTGCTCGCACCGAGCCCAGGAGAACTTCACCATGTACGATTCCCACAATAGTCGATATCGGTGGGATGGTGAAGAAAGGTCGGGTTGGCCTGGTAGTAGATTTTAGCAATAAAATCCCAGCATAACCCTAGATGTCCTGTTCCGTGCGTCCCATGCTCAAAACGGATCCGGGTTGAGTCGACCACATGTAGTTCGCTCACCCGTACCGCCATTGCTAATGCCAAGCTCCTCACAGCGATAGCCCGTTCGCGGAGCTCTCTATACTATACCGAGAGTGTAACGAAGGTGTCACGCGCTGGGAAGGAGCTTGAAAATGAGGATGCAATGAGGGGCTCGAAGGGGGCCCTCGCAAACCTCGAAGTACCACGTTCAAGTCCCAATCAGGTGGCTGGAACTTGGCCTTCTGATCCTCAAACCTGAATGAGCATAATATGGCCTGTAGTTCCGTGACCTTAATCACACTGTGATTTTCCGGAAACGGCCAACACTAAGATAATTGCAGCCAATTACGTAGTAATGGTGCTACCTTCCAAGTGTTTTTTGGGTACGCAATGTAGGAGGTATTCCTCTAGGAATTGTGACGCAATCGTAGGGTCTTGATTCTTTTCTTCCCTGTAAAAAGTCTCAAGTGATCCCCACTTGTCATCGTCGTCTCTGGGAGAGTAACGATGAACTAAAGCTATAGCTTTGCTGCCCGTGTCGAAATAACCCTTCGCACTTAAACGCCTTTTAAAGACGAACCATGCGTGCAGACGTTGGGTGAGGCAATTTTCTGTTGAGGGTGGATGAGTAGGTTGGACCACTGTGAGAGGGGAAGTGAATCGTTTTAGATTTTTCCGAGCTTGACGAACTACCCTCTCGCCGGTTACCATGGTGCGACCAAAGGAGAGATCGAGATACCTTGTCTCCTTGATCCCCTGTAGCACCTTGGGAAGTAAAAGTGGTGGCAGAAGAGTGTTAGTTCTTTGCCCTTCCCAAGTGATACTGAACTCGTCCACCGCCCAAGTCTGCGGATCCGGCAACGGGGAGATATACGTCATGAGTTGGTGGCCTAGGCAAGTAATAAACAAGTCAATGTTTGGTTGCCTGAATTCCTGAAGCAGTAACTGGAATGCTTCTGTGAGAAATTTCCACTCAGTGGGAGCCACCCTGTCTGGACGTGATAAAGTATCGGCCAGTATGTTTCTACATCCGGGGATGTGCTGAACTATGAACCTTAGTCACAGCCGATCCACTAGATGGAAGAAATCTGAATGTCCTTAGAAGTGGAGAGTGGGAGTGTGTTGTTCCCCGATTGCACAGGCACCACACCGCAGTGCTGTTGTCTGTGGATATAGCGAGTCGGGCTAACTGTAGTTGATTCTGCCAATGTGATATAGCCAGAATTAAAGCTTCCAACTCCAAGTTGTTTATGTGCCACTTCCATTGTGCGCCGGGCCATAGCCCTGAGCTTATCTGGTCTTGTAAGTGAAGACTCCACCCCTGAAAGGGGACGTCCACAAACAGGTGTGTATTCGGGGAAAATCCGAATAAACAGACTCCGCAGACATTCAGCGCCACAAATTGAGGCTCTAGCTTAGTTGGTAGAGTGATGGCCTTGAGTGGATCCTGACTCCTGATGTAAGGGTTCAGGAAAAAAATTGAATTGGTCGCTGTTGTAAGCGGCCCATGCTAGTTAACTCCTGTGTCGAGGTGATTAACCCTAGCAACACTTGCCACTGGCGAAGTGTGTGTGGTTGGTGTAGAGTAGATGACAAAAGAAGTAGAAACTTGTGCCATCTGTCCCTCGGTACAGATAGGATATCCTGGTCTGTCTTAAACAGGTCTCCTATGAACTGAAGTCAATAGGAAGGAGAATACTCCCGACTTCGCCTCGTTGATTGTCTATCCCAGTTATTGACATGTGTTGATGATACAGTAGATCGCCCTCCATCTACGACTCGAACCAAGTGTTCGTCACGTGTAGATAGTTATTGGCTTCATTACTCCTGTAAATAGCCATAAGTGTCACTGACATGTCAAATGGGAAATACTACCATTGGTAGTGAACCCCAATGAACTGGACCTGAAAAGTCTACGGTTGGGATGGATAGTCGAGACTGATGAAGAATCAAACGTTCGTTGAACACAGAGATTGTGGATCATTCTCATCTTGTCTGGGTCCTTCATGAGTACCAGGTAGGTGTGAGGATAAAACCCCGGAGTAAAGACTGGGTTGTGAACCCACTCTACAGCTCTTCTTACCAACAGTATGTCTATGTTGGATTTTCCCAATCAAACTGTGGTCAACGGTGGGGTTAACTCTACCCTTATACGGACACCATGATATAGTGCGATAAGTACGAAATCGTCCTTGAGACTTGTCTCTGCCACTCCCTTTCTCAGTAAGGGAATGCTGGTCTTCCCTGAGAAACGCGCGTCTAGGCTTATAATTCCCTGACTTGGACTTTCCAAGCTTTTTGGGAACTTGACGTGCGTGTCTGCGATCTGTTCGTTGAACAGGGGAGTAGATGATCAAGGTTGACGTAATAGACTGCCCTTGAAACCAGCATCTCAGTTGGAAACGCTATAAAGTCTTGGGTGTAACGGTAATCACCGTCAGAACAGTCTCAAGATGAATTTTCCTGTGGTCAAACTGACGCTGTAGGAAAAACACCATAGTTTGGAAGTGATCTAATCAGATAGGGTTATCCTCTAATAGATTCTGATCCACTGCAAACATTGACGATATTGGTCGCTTAAATCACGGAGCAAATGTGAGTTTTGGAGAAGGCTTCCTCCAATGACCTCGTGGTGTCCCTCTTATTTACCCTGTTATCAGGGGAGGGCGTTACTGACACGAGATGGTCTGCTTCCCAATCGGGTACATGTGCTAAGCTGATCATGTGCCGGTTACGTAACCGAGTACACTGTAAGCCTTGGGCTAACGTCATTGTAGAGACCTTGATTGATACGCAGACGCTGCGCTCAGCGCAGGTCTGGAATGTTGGAACAGCGCTAAGCTGATCGTGCGTCACTGGCGTCATAGGAGCGCTTGGGTATCAGTCAGACGCTGCGCTCGGCGCAGGTCTATGCTGGATATGTTGGAACAGCGCTAAGCTGATCGTGCGTCACTGGCGTGATAGGAGCGCTTGGGTATCAGTCAGACGCTGCGCTCGGCGCAGGTCTATGCTGGATATGTTGGAACAGCGCTAAGCTGATCGTGCGCCGATTGCGTAATAGAAATGCTTTGGTTGTAGTCAGGTGCTGCGCTCGGCGCAGATAAATCAGACACAAAGCTCAAAAGTATTGACTGGATCAAGGCTTGTGTCTAATCTACCCCCATCATAGCATCTCGATACGCTGGTGCTGTCGCCGACGTCACAGATTATCATACATGTATCTGGAAGTGTCCGGCGGCTGAAAAAATAGGAGCAGTTACGATACTCACAAAATCCTCCGGTATTGTTGATTTCGGTGGATGGTGTACTTCTGCAATCACAGTCGTCATAATACCTGCCGATAATAACGGTTGGGTGGTAATGACAGAACCATATGTCATTCGCTATTCTGCGATAGTGACATTCCTCTCGTCTCACGACGGAATAACTGCAAAATATGATTGTGAGTAATCTGCTTTTATATAGTAAACTCGTTGGATTAGAGATTTACATAAAAATTACATTTTGAATTTTGGCGAGCACATCTACGTGCATGCCTATGACCGTGGATAAAGAGCTTTGGGCGATTATTCCACGACAATATGTACACCGAGCAAACATAATTATGTTACGCAATTAAACCATTGAAGAAATGGTACTGGAAGAATGCCGTAGAATTGAACAGTAATCTATCGGCAAAAATACGAATTGCAAGGGTATACAATATTTTTATATACGCAATTCAATGTAAACCAAGGCTATTTACATTTAGAGATTGGAGAGCACATCCGCGCGCAAACCAACCAATCGTGGATGATAATCTTGTAAGGTTTTTTCCACGACAATTAGTAAAATGCTCAAAGGTATGTTACGCAATGAAACCCTTGTTGATGAGATAATACTGGAAGAGTGCCGAAGAATTTGAACACTAATCTATCGGCAAATTTACGAGTTGCAAGGATATACAATATTTTTGTATGCGCAACCCAATGTAAACCAAGGGTATTTATATTTTCATTTAGGGTTTGGAGAGCACATCTGCGCGCAAACCAAACAACGTGGATGATAATCTTTGTAAGATTTTTCCCACGACAATTAATACCACGCTCAATCATAAGTTACACAATTACATATATATATGTATATTCAATGTCTGTACATATAGAGTAGGGAAAGGGCCACCTAAGTTGGATAACTTTTGCCCAATCCCGTTGACCATATATGTCAATAAAATATGTTTAAATTAAACACAATTACGCCATTGTTGATGAGGCGGTACTGGAAGAATGCCATAGAATTGAACAATAATCTATCGGCAAAAACTACGAGTTGCAAGAGTATACAATAGTTCATATACGCAACTCAATGTAAAACCAAAAATACCAACAAAAAACTATTTAATCGCATAAACATAGGTACGCAATAAAAGAATTGTTGATGAAGCGGGACTGGAAGAAAGCCGGAGATTTGATATTAATCTATCGGCAACCATATTTTTAACGAGTTGAAAAAGTATACAATAATTTTAGTATACGCAACTCACTGTTACGCCAAAGCTAGTAATATTTAAGAACATAAGAAATATGTTATACATACGTAGCTGAGAATTGTAAACAATATGACTACCTTGGCAGGCAAACGATTGTAACACAATTCAAAATGGCGGCGAACAACAATATTTTGGCGGGAAAAAAGACAAGCGTCTTTTCACGCCTAATTAATTCACATAAAACTACACAACATGGTGAAAGTAATATGAAAAGAATACATCACCCATCGAAGATCAATTTTTAAGATTGTAGACAAACTGAAGGTCTAAAATGAATCCAAAAGGAGAGCTCCGCTTGGACACGTCCTAGCTGTGCTGCGACAAGCAGTGATGTGCAGATGACCTTAGGTGTCATCAAGGTCACAGGACAGCGACGGAAGGCCACTGATTGGGACTTGAGAACAACAACTTTATTTCTTCACCCAGGACCTTCCCAGCGCTGTCCTTCTAGTTGTCGTAAGTAAGCAGTGAATGCATTAAGGAGTAATGCAGGATAAGTAAAAAAATTGTTACTTTTACGTTCTGATATTTTGACGATGATTCACTATCCCACAATGGCACTCACAAATCACTAACCACGGACAAATCACATGCACGTGGGTTTCAAGCACCTGTTTTCACCTGTCGTCAAGGTGTCATAGGTCATGGACATTCACCTTGATCTACTAACACCTGGTTATGCTCAGTTTCACAATAGTCTGTTTTGTTCATATTTTTACACACTTTTACGTGTAAAAAGACATAAAAACCTTTGATATGCTGTATTTGTGCCAAGGCCCAATTAGTCCTAATTGAGTTGTTTGAATATTTATATATTTTGTATATTAACTGCATTAATTTAAAATCTGAGATCGAAAAAAACAGTTTTTTTTTTTTCATTTCCTTGAGTACTTTAGGATCAATTTATGTAAATGAGAAAAAAATTGTTTAAATGCAATACATTCAAAAGGCTCCTTCTTAGGAAAAATAATTTATGGCACCACCTCAAAATCAGTCTTGATAAAAATTTCTTAGATAAGCTACTTCAGTAGTAGAGAAAATCTGTCCCCATTGCAGACACGATGCACTTTGTAAAATAACATGGATCAAGGGCCGTAACTGTGTATGCTCAAAATGTAAAACCATGTAACAAGGTAATTTACTCTGGCAAAAAAACATTTATGGGACTAATTGTTTAACAGAGTCTTGCCAAGTATCTCATCTCTAAGCATGCAAAATTTCATTCACGTAATTTCAGTAGTATCTGTGAAAACTTGTTCCTATTTCATGCAGTATGCATTTAGTTGAAAAGCACGAAGCAAGGGCCACAACTTTTCAACAATTTTCCAACTCATTAAAGATCATGATATCATAATATCAGCGTGTATAATTTCATTTCTCTAACTTAAGTTTTTTAGAAAATTTGTCCCCTCTGAGAAGACGGACAGTAGACGAACCCTGTTCCTATACCACCACAACTCCCAAAATATGCATTATTCCTAACTTTTCCTCCCATGTACTAAAAACATAGGTTCTATCGATGAGTAAGTTAGAAAATAAGGTGATGCTAAGGAGATGAATGTTCTGAATGAATTCATTACACCCTGTGGTGTTTGTTGTTGCCCTCAATATTCCAGCAACATGAAGGTGGCCTGTAAATACCGGAGTATGGACCAGACACTTCAGTGATTGATATGGTGAGAAACGATCCATGACGTTGCGATACAATGACACGCAATCAACCAAGACACGAACCCGCTTCATTTGGTGGCCTGCATATGTTCTAGGGATCAATTCTAACCCCAAATCCCCACAGTGTACCCCTGTAGCTGGTTCATCTGCTGGTACCTCTCGTCTGTCGTGTGAGGAAGTCGGATTTACATATGCCTCACCTCTGAAGGTCAGCATTGCCGTCTAATTTTCCTCTGTGTTCCAATCCTCGTGTCCAGGCAAAGATACTGGCAACAGGGTTGGTGCTTGTGGGGTTGCCCTGGTAACAAAAATACACCATTGCATTCAACATATGTATGATGAAACACATTTAAGAAAGCATGAATTTCTCTTTCAAAGCGTACATGACAATCCAACTAATCCAATCACAATAGTCTCTGTACGCAAATGACACCAAATGACATTGTCTCAGAAGAGACGACCTTCCCGAGGCAAGCGTGTCCACTAGCCTATATCAAGCCTAATTTCTACCCTTGCCACATCAAGGCCACTTTTCTTGGCTCGACCCTGGCACCACCTCGCGTAGATCAAGAGTTGTGCCCCTTGTAATGAAAATGCGATATCCAATCAGATCACTGTTCTTATCTCATATTGCTTCACAAAGATGGTGACTACCATATAAAGAAAACATTTGCGATTTCATCTGACACAAAAACACAGGCACTCGTTGGTTTAAAAGACGAAAAAGACGTGTCAACAAAGACAGGAAGCAGTAAATCACTTTTAAACAAAGATGTACCAGTCGTGGATGTTGATCTTGTGAAACGTTCTCTGACTGGACTATTGATATGTGCGATAGTCCAATCATATTTAGCACAGGAAAGTGGGCTTGATGTGGCAAGGGTGGAAACAAGATAAAGGCTAGTGAACTCTCTGGACACAGGAAGATGAGAAGAAAACCTACCTTCTGGTGCTCTCTGTAGTGCCTGGTGACAGTGCCGTGAGCAGCCTCCGCCTCAATGGTCTTTCCATCGGGGCACACCAATACACTGGTCATCAGTCCCAGGGAACCGTAGCCTGTAGACCAACATCAGTGAGTGAGTGAGTGAGTGAGTGAGTGAGTGAGTGAGTGAGAGTGAAATGCCAGTTCCAGTTATATTGTAGCGTGTCAGCTGGATGTGGGATAAACATCCAACATGAATGAGGTTTCAGAGGTTTACCTCTTGGTGAAACCCACTAGCATTTGTATGACACTGACAAACCTAGAAACATAATTGTGGCAAACCAGAATTTGAACCCACAATCCAAGATTTCTGGCGTGCTAAAGGGATGTAACTCTACACAACGAATTGCAGCGCCTTAGCTGACTAGGCCACCTGTGTCCCCCAGTCAGTTTTATTCAGTTTCAATTTGAAACAAAAACTGAAGCATTCAGAACTGGTTCAGAATTATAGACATCAAATGCTGTTGGTCAATGAGGACTGCCATCATTGGATTTTTACTTGTCCTCAACACAATTTCATAGTCTTCGGCCATTGGACTAGCATGAATTTCTAAGGCTGACAAAGCATGTATAAATACAATGAGTGCTTAACATTGTTTTGAAGTGTATTTCAGCGATATCAGAGTATGTCAACCTAAAGTGACAAAACGGTGACACAGGTGGTCTGTTTCTGAGCAGCCCATGAGCAAAGGTATTAATGCTTCAGACAAGCCATTTGATAGTGCTTGCCCAATGACATACTATGTTGCAGTTCAACATGGACACCCAGACACATTACAAGTCTCTGAACAGACCAGTCCTTGTCTTATCAGCTAAATGTTGAGTGTCAGAGGCAGTTTGGATCATCAGATCATAGCAACTTCCAGCACCTCTTATGACACACTCCGACACAGTGGTGACTCAGCATAACACCACTGCCACAGGCTAATTTGCATATCATGTGACCAGACTTTTCTCTTGTTTGTAAACAAACACGCTTTTTCAGAAATCAGAATAAAACAGACTAATGCAAGTTTTTGGAGGCGCTTTACATATTGTATTAAATATGCTACCACAACAGCAACAGTGAGTTGTATGAGAATACATATTTATACATCAAAGTGACCGTATTGCTAGCTTTCCGTACAGCTTCGATGACAGCATGTGGAGCCAAACAACCAAAGTAAACATAGGATAACTACGCAAAAAACTATGCAAAGGGAAATGGTTTTTCACGATTAAGGATATTTTCTCAATGACAGTTAACTATTATATGACTTATGTTTATCTAGATATGTAGACTTGTCAAAAATGAAACAGATGAAAAACAAATGCAATATCTTGAATGGACTGTGTAAGATGTAACGAACCGTCACATGGCGCTGGCCTGTGGCAGAGGTACGATGCTGGTCGCATGGAACTCTGGGTAGGAGAGTGCTCTTAAGACTTGACCAATTGTGCCCTATTCATTAAAACACATTATGATGCAAGAACCGTGCACCTTCACCCCACCGTCTATCAACCAGTATTAAAAGCGAAGTCATTCACACATACCCTGAGCAACAATATCGGACTGCACATCACCATCGTAGTTCTTGCAAGCCCACACAAAGCCTCCATCTGACTTGAGCGCCTGAGCAACCATATCATCAATCAGACGATGCTCGTACCAGATTCCAAGCTTATCAAACTCTGGTTTGTACTTTCTGCAAACAGGTCAAGGCAAGGTCACATAGATCAAGTCAAGGCAAGGTCACAGGTCATATCTGGTGCATCACAACTGACGAAGTTACATTTTATTTGTAACTACAATTGTCTCAATGTAAAAAAATTAACAAAGTTTGTTCCATTGAAAATGTAAACGCTGATTGATCAATTTTTTAATTTAAGCAATATGACCTAACACAGCTGCACGGCTGAGAAGACAAATATGACCTCACAAATTGATAACAAGTTCTATTGTAGGCTTCACATTTCAGGCATTTTCAAAATATCAAAGGGTAAAAAGAGGAATAAGCTACTCAAAACTGAAAGACCCTCTTCCAAGTCAAATTAGTTCATAATTGGAGAGAATATCCACCAATAGTCAATCTTGTTTTCTCCAACTTAATTTGGAGCTGTTCTGAGGACGGTATTCATTCCCAAATTAATTAAAATAAAAATTGGAATTAAAAAGTTAACACTTCATGTAAAAGTAGATTTAACTAATGTGATGGGCAAGTTGAGGTGACATGTATTCCAAAGAAATCAGAACTAAATTAGAGGAAGAGGCTAAACTTTACATTACTGCATTAAATGCAATACAATGCAGTGTTAAATAAGAACAATTTTCTCCCCTCCCCCCCCCAATTTGTGAATTAAATATTTTTTCACAATTTGCCTTCCAAAGTGCTTCTGTTGGAATCCAAGAAAAGAAACTGATTACCACTTGATACAGAGGTATTATCCAGCTATATGACGACGGTCTGTAAATATTCGAGTCTGAACCAGACAGTCCAGTGATCAACATCATCAGCATCGATCCACGCAATTGGGATACGATGAAATATATCAACCACACTGACTACCCAATCCCTTTAGTCGCCTTTTACGACAAGAAGTCGCCTTTTCAGTCAATAGTGGGTTGCTGAAGACCTATTCTGCCCCAGACCTTCATGGGTCGATACAGAAGTTTTATCCTGCTATGTGAGAACACAGAATGCATAAAAACGTACGCTTCATAGATTTCCTCGAAAATGTCCTTAAACCTGCCATCATATCTCTTCAAGATTGTGTTCTTGGTGCTCATGTAGAGAGGCCATTTCTTCATGATGGCATACTGGAAGCAAGCATGGGCAAATCCTGTGATGGACTGAAAAACAAGATAAAAGGTCTTCAGATAGAAACAAAGCAGATGGGGCCCAGGTCAGGATGGCATATTGTCTTTAGAATTTTGTTTGCATGATTTTAAGCATTGCTAATCATGTGATGTACAATGTATTTTCACAAATTATCTCCCCTTGGATCAACAAATGAATGTGACAAATGTAACCAATCACACAATTAATTCACAAAGTGAGTGAGTTGTGTTTTTAACTTCGCTTTTAACAGTATTCCATACATGCACCAGTACAACCTGATAATTATGCCCACATGCACCAAGTGCAACCTGATAATTATGCCCACGTGCACCAAGTGCAACCTGATAATTATGCCTACATGCACCAAGTGCACCAGTGCAACCTGATAATAATGCCCACATGCACCAGTACAACCTGATAATTATGCCCACATGCACCAGTGCAACCTAATATTTATGCCTACATGCACCAGTACAACCTGATAATTATGTCTACATGCACCAAGGGCAACCTGATAATTATGCCCACATGCACCAGTGCAATCTGATAATTATGCCCACGTGCACCAAGTGCAACCTGATAATTATGCCCACATGCACCAAGTGCAACCTGATAATTATGCCCACATGCACCAGTGCAACCTAATATTACCAAGTGCAACCTGATAATTATGCCCATGTGCACAAAGTCCAACCTAATAATTATGTCTACATGCACCAGTGCAACCTGATAATTATGTCTACATGCACCAGTGCAAGCTGATAATTATGCCTACATGCACCAGTGCAACCTGATAATTATGCCTACATTCACCAGTACAACCTGATAATTATGCCCACATGCACCAGTGCAACCTAATATTTATGCCTACATGCACCAGTACAACCTGATAATTATGTCTACATGCACCAAGGGCAACCTGATAATTATGCCCACATGCACCAGTACAACCTGATAATTATGCCCACGTGCACCAAGTTCAACCTGATAATTATGCCTACATGCACCAAGTGCAACCTAATAATTATGCCCACATGCACCAGTGCAACCTAATATTTATGCCCACATGCACCAATACAACCTGATAATTATGTCTACATGCACCAGTGCAACCTAATAATTATGTCTACATGCACCAGTGCAACCTAATAATTATGTCTACTTGCATAAGAGCATGTCAAAAACAATCAAATTTGTAACCAAATCCTTACTTGTCCAAACAAAACAACTCCTTGAACACTCAAAACCTCCGAGCGTTATTTACCCTATTACATCACTAATGTCTGTGTTATGTGTAATTCATGACTCATTCCACAGACATCAGTTAAATCATCTTTATTTCAACTTTGATAAATGTATGGGACCTGGTTTTGTCAGGTGCAACTAGCTTTTCATGTCAACATGCACCTGGTGCATGGAAAATCAAGTTCCTTAAATGGAGCACTGCCCGGTCTCCCAGTGACCTCAACACCTCTCACCTCATCAGTGTTGTACATGCCCATGATGACACCGCCTCCATCCTTGAACTCAAAGCATGGCAGTCTGGTTTCTTTTCCATCAGCAGTAGAGGTCACGACCATCTCAAACTTGCTGGGCTTCTCCACTACGAAGTCTGTTGCTTTGTACTGTAATGGAACATGTTTGGTTTGGTTTGGTTTGTTTGTTGTTTAACGCCGCACTCAGTAATATTCAAGCTATATGACGGCGGTCTGTAAATAATCGAGTTTCATGGACCAGACAATCCAGTGATTGATATCATGAGCATCAATCCACGCAATTGGGATCGATGACATGCATCAACCAAGTCAGCGAGCCTGACCATCCGATCCCGTTAGTCGCCTTTTACGGCAAGCATGGGTTGCTGAAGATCTATTCTACCCCGGATGTTCACGGGGCGTAATGGAACATGTACCGATATCAACATTGGCAAACACAGACATAAGAGAATAATACCATGAATAGAGTTACCAACACACACGTAAACAAAAGCTTTGAGAGCTTTTACAGGACAGATATTCGAGGTACATATTGAGAAAACAAAAACTTGAAAGCAATTTGCATTACATGTAAAACGTCACATGACTATTTACCTGATCACCATGAGCGTGACGGCCGATCACAATGGCACGGGTCCAGCCCGGCACGAGACGTGGAATGGTCTTGCAGATGATTGGCTCACGGAACACTGTACCACCGAGGATGTTCCTGATGGTTCCATTTGGACTGAGCCACATCTTCTTCAGCTTGAATTCTTCAAACAATAAGCTACACATGTTGTTTGTGTTACACGATACGATATTTATATATGCATGCATGCATGCACCAATCCACCCATACCAAAAATATATGTTATATATTTACAATGTATATATTTACAGTAAAATATGTTTATAACATTGGTTGGTTGGTTGGTTGGTTAGTTAGTTTGTTGTTTAACGCCGCACTCAGCAATATTCCAGCTATATGACGGCAGTCTGTAAATAATCGAGTTTCAATCTCATCGACTTCTTGTTATTTGTTTCAGTGGTCAAAGTTCGCGAAAGGTCGTTCTGACGTGACCCGTAATAGGATGTCCTCAGATCTTTATTTAGCGATAGCGAGAACTAAGATCTGATTTTAATTGAGATTGATCGAGTCTGGACCAGACAATCCAGTGATTGATATCATGAGCATCGATCCACCCAATTGGGATCGATGACATGCTCCAACCAAGTCAGCGAGTCTGACCAACCGATCCCATTAGTCACCTCTTAAGACAAGCATAGTCACCTTTTACGGGAAGCATGGGTTGCTGAAGACCTATTCTACCCCGGATCTTCACAGGTCATGTTTATAACGAACGCGCTTGTAACGAACTGACGGATATAGCCAACTTAATTTGTGGTTGCTGCCATTTGCTGTATAGATGTATATATGCTTATAATGAACTACGGTTATAACAAACTAAAATTATTGGTCCATTTGAGTTTAACTCTGCATGGATTTGTGATCTGATGGAAAACTCTTTGCAGATGAAATCACCAACCTTCAACACGAGCCTCGTCGGGTGTGATGGTGGCACACTTGATGCCCACATTGTATTTCCTGATGGCCTCGGCGGAGTCAATGGTAACCTGGTCGTTGGTCTGGTCCCGGTATGGCAGACCCAGGTCATAGTACTTGCAGTCAACTTCCAGGTAGGGGAAGATCAGCTGCAACAAACAAGTGTCCTCATACAGGGTGCGATTTCCCATTGACAAGACAGCCCTGGTGCAGGTTATATGTGTGGTCTGTACAATGATCCACTAACAGGCTTATAAATATCACTTGCTTCAAATTCATACACGGCATACAAGAATAAACATATTGAAATAATTATTGTCGTTTTTCTCACAGTTCACATTTACATCCTTCTTATGTGCACTAATTTGACTGCCAATCTTCGCAATGTACACGTTTAACGTTTCAATCAAGGGCGTGGTGCAACCAGCTATCTGTTATTATAACTTAACTGCATCCTGCACTAGGTGCAGTGGAGAAAGAATAACGAAATCTCACCCATCATGATAGTGACCCCGATGCGTCGGGATTCGTGGCCTTAAATTGTAATACATGATGATAGAAAATAATGTATGTTTTACTCAAGGTGACATGTCTGGTGATAAATAGGAGCTTAAAAAGCCACCCCATCCTTCAAATGTTTTGAATAACTTTTGGAACAGATAACAGTTTGTCATAATGCTTTCACTCTTCTGAGTATTTCGGTTCACTGTTTGTGTTCCTATTCTGGCGTATCGAGATACATGTTGTATCATGACCAGTGTCATGGTCTTCCGTATTGTTGCACCCCGAGTGTATGTAAGAATGATGCTCAATTTTGGGGCATTGAAGTCACCACAAACCCTCTTGATAGATCTGAAAGGATTAGGCCTTACATATACTTCTGTTAAGTAAACAGGTCCACTGGTTTTACACCTAAAAAGACCCAATTTAAAAAAAAACAACTTAAAAACTTACAAAATTATCCTGCCAACAGTAAAGATTGCTTTGAAAATGATTACAAAACCCAGTTTAATGTTTATTTTTGACCTACCTTTCAAAATCAGTACCTGCTCAAGATCTTGCCTCAACTGTAGGGCTTATGTCTTTGTATTATGACGTATTCAGCACTAGTCCAATATATATCAAGAAGCTAATGGTTGACATTATGAGTAACATCCCACCCCACAATGGTAGAGTAACATGCAATCACGAAGTCACTGAGCCCAGCCTGTCCAATCCATTCCAGCTACTTATGACTAGCATAGGGTACTTGGGGCCAATTATGACTTAGGTCTTCATTAAGGCCGGGACGAGTTCAAATTTACTTCCCCGGTAACCATCCCCCTATAACCCTACCCTACCTACATTTTTTTTCATTAAACAATAAAGCATTTGCCTAACCACGGGTCCGGGTAGTCATGTGGGTACCCGGATCCTACTCAGTACCAACTCGGGTTCCCTGGATTGGTGGGTACTGGGTGGGTACTGAGTAAGATCCGGGTACCCGAGTTATCCGTCACAGCCCTAGTCTTCATTATGACTCACACTTTGTAAAGGTGATGCAAATCACGAAATGCATTTTCCTTCATGACTTGTGACCAGTTATAGTTATGTTTATTTGTTGTTTAACGACACACTCAGCAATATTCCAGCAATATAACAGTATCTCATCTGGACTATATAACATGTACAATCAAGTATTTGACAATGACATGAGCATTCATCCACACAATTGTGATATGATGACATGCATCGACCAAGTCAGCGAGTCTGACCACCCGATCCCGTTAGTCGCCTTTTACGACAAGCATAGTCGCCATTTACGGCAAGCACGGTTGCTGAAGACCTATTCACTACCTGGATCTTCATGGCCAAGTTATGTGTAGGGAAAAATAAAAGAGATAAAAGAAAAGTCTTTGCTATAAGCCAAATGTTGAATACTTGAGACTGAGGCAGTCGAACACTGGTATGTCTGTTAAACAATCTACTATTAATCTATCAGAGAAGATAACTACACTACCACTAATATCACTACGTTTTAGTATTTTTATCAGTTGTCCTATAGGTTCAACACTTGTTAAAGGAGACAAAAGTGAACAACATAAAAATACATGGAGATACTCAAAATCACATTCATCTGCCTACATTTTATTTTCACTGGATGATAGAACTAACATACACAAACAAAATATATACAACAACAAAACTTTAATTATCTGTAATGTTTTAAAACATCCTTTCAAGAGAAACAGTTTTGAGAATTTATTATAACTCTTTACATGGGAAAAGGCGTATTATCATGATTATTTCTAATCATGCCTGGCTGGCTGTAGAATAAATAATTTTAAAACCAAGGTAACATTGTTTTTCTTTATCTTTTTATATACATAAGAGATCTACAAATATTCAGTTTTACCCAAAAAACAATTGTGTTGTGAGCTCACTAAAACATGTTTAAATGTTATTGTTATTTTGATAAACCAGTAAACAGAAAATGTAAACCAAGTAGTAAAAAGGCCAAAAATAATATATATATATTATGAAATAAATAATAGTCAACATTACTTTTTATCAGATAACCCTACCAAGCCACACAATGGAATGCCAAAAGAAACAAAACACTGTAGATAAACAAAGAAAAAAGATAAGAATAAAGAATATGTATCTACTTAACTTACCGAACTTCAAAACAGATCTACAGGTTCATTTTAGACACTATGAACATGAACTGAGTATGCTGAACAGATATATATTTTTTTAGATTGATTAGGTCAGATAAATTCAAGGCTTTTTTCAAGGCATGTTATCCATTTTAAGTTTTTTACAAGGCAGAATCTAAAATCATGGCCTTTTCAAGGCAAAATCTTAATTCAAGGCAAATATATCTTTTCTTTAAAACCAATACAGTTCTTCTGAAGCCCATTTAGTTTTGAAATGTAAATGCTTTTAATTCAAAAAGGCAAAAAGATTACAGGTTACACTCTGGTAACCCCTATAACTTGAACGTCCTTGGAAAGAAGCTAGCGTTGCATATTCAGGGTTAAGTGACTGAGATGAGTGAATAAAGGTATTGACACAAGCTGAGCACTCACACAACCATAGCTTGGGATAGCGTTACACTGGTCACAATTATCTGTTTGCCCTTGACAGTGGGTCAATGTCACTGGATTTTGTGACAAGGCAAGAAACAAGACACGGACTATGTGAATTGCGGTCAGGGTACTACTACAAAACAAATAAAACCGTCAGCCAGACATGCCGGCTTATCTACCAGTACATGAATGTCAGGCAAGGTCAAACCAGCAGTACATTATCGCTGATCATAAATAGAAGCCAAAGTTCACACATGACACACGTAACCACTTCCTATGACAGGATTTGCATGTTTTCCTGAAAGCCAATGGCTTACTGCATCAAAAGATTTTGGGGCCTGGCTATGCTAGATCAGCCCGTCTCTATTTCTTTCTTTACATATTATTTTTTAAACAACCTGGTAGGTTGGGGGTAAAAAATATACACGACATTCAGGGGCTGAAATTCCAAGTATTACAGTGCCAATGGCATACTAAAAATAGCACCGGAAACATGAAGATGAATAAAGTTCCTGTGTCCAAAAAGAAAACCTAGATATTATTTTTAACAAACGTTCCCGGGGATGAAATATTATAATATGAACATGGTCAAGCCAGTGATAAGTGTACTGTCCGCAAACTGGACTAAATGCACGGTGTGATTCATGAAATAAACCTGGGTATTCGGAAATTGAAAAGGGCATTACCAATTGGGGAAAACTTTGTAAATAACTGCCTATTGTCCAGATGAAATTTATAAAGTTTGACGATGGATCAAAAGAATTGCAATCAATAAAATCAGATCTTTCAGATAACAGTTTCTATATTGACCGAAGTAATGTGCCAATGAAAGTTGTACTGCCAATGACTCTCAGGTCGGACTAACACCATGGAGCTGGCAGCTGTCCAACAGTGGCACACATGAGTCGAATGTGCCTCCCACACAAGCCAACAACCACACTAGGCATGCTGTGGCAAGAGGGGAGGCAGTGACATTTCCACACACCAATATCAGCTGATCAGAAATATAATACCTGCTTGGACTGCCAACACACCATTCAAGCTTATTCCTGGGAACATGGCTGCCCATACAGAGGAACATACAGGTGTAATGTCCCTGTATCAAGCTCATTCAAGGCATCGCCATACTCATGTTAGAATACTTCTCGACTTCCGTTGCTTGGAACCTTTTGAATAGGGTTTTGAAAAAATATTCTTGACTTAGGTATTTTTTAATCTTTGAATGACACCTGAACCCCATGGACCCCACCCCCTCCGGTTCCTCCTATGTGCATAGCTACAGTCTTAAATAGGTGAATATGTTCTAAGATTCAAGAATGACCTTAGCTTTCACTTTTCTTATGATTAGGTGGATTACCTTATAAGGTCACAGGAATTCCGGTTGCTTGGCACTAGTTCAACAATAAACAGATTATCTTTGAATGCTTAGCATAAATCTTGCTACTTTTCATCATGTGCAGTGATCTGACAGCGTTTTTGGAATGGTAAGACAACAGTCAATAACGAAATTCATAAGCAAAGATGATTCAAGTCTTGGTTTGGGGTTTCCTATCAGAGACAGTATTGTAAGAATTATGGAAGACATCACTGACAATGTCACTCGCAGTGGAGAGTCATACTGGTGGAACTAACTACAAGATCACAGAGACATCATGCCTTCAGTTGTACCCATGGCTCACAACCCTATTGAAACATCAGGATCAGTATTTAAAACAAAAAAATTGCCAGGTTGCCATGAGGACCGGTAAATTTGCTGCAGGCTATAAGGTGAAGGTGAAGGTGAAATTGGGGTTAACATCGCGTCCAAGATTATTGCACTTATATAGCGACATGCATGCATGTGTGTGTGTGGCTGCATGTACGAGTCCTGACTGATAACGATTTATAGTGCTAGCACACTGAGATACCATGCCGCAGTTTAACATGAATACCCCACTCAGACACAGTATACTGACTCCGAGCCGACCAGTCCTTGTTTTAGCCCTTTAATGCCGAGCGCCAGACAGGGTAACAACATACCATCTTTAGGTATGACGTGGCCGGGGATCAAACCCCGGACCTTCCGCTCTCCGGGCGGA